TGGTGACACAGAGAACGTTCTTTGGGCTAGGAGAGAAACACGGTCACTAAATGCAGTGCAGCAGCACTGCACAAGAAGCAGAAGAGACTCTGTGGCCTTTACACCCTCATGCCCAGGTTTCAGGCATGTTTCCCAGTGAGAAGAAACTGCACAGTGGGTTAGGTTCCTCTCTAAAAACCACAGTTTTAGAAACTTTGTTGGGTTTGGGATTCATTCCTTCATTTATGGAAAGATAACAGAAGTTCTAAGATGCTTGTTTCCTGTTACCGGGGCCATCTCCACAGACAAAAGAACTGGAACCCCTTATAACCCAAAGAAAAGTGTTGCCTAAGAATGGAGTTTGTTTGCATGTGGTAAGGCTTGAGTTACCCACCGATGCAACCAAAACTAGAGCAGATGCTGATGTGTTGCAGGGACATTTGTAGGAGGGGACCTTGGTGGAAGTAGTTCCAGCAGATGGCAATGAGATTTTGTCCAACGGCACGCAGGACAGGGGACAGGTGAGAAAGACAGTGGGATCAGTGAGTATTTGCTCCTTACCGTGCCAGAACTTTTGCTCCAGTAAGGAGGTTCTTGTTCTATCATTTCAATCCCCACAATTCCAAAAGACCATATGTCCACTTTGGGGCCATATGGTTGACCTGTCACCACTTCAGGCGCCATCCACCAAGGAGTCCCGGTTACCAAGAACCGTCTGCTCTGCTCAGGAGTGAGCTCAGTAGAGAGGCCAAAATCAGCTGAGGAGAAAGCAAAATACTGGTTTTATTTGAATTCTGTGCAATTAGGAAAGCAAGCAAAAGAATTTCCCAGTAGAAGTTTGAAAATGTGCTGTTGAATCTCCTGGCATTGGCGACTTAAAAAATGCCCCCATTTTTTCCACTGCCTCCAGCAGTGGCTTTTGTTCTTTGGAAACTTTAAACTTGTAACTCCCTCCCTCTGGAAGGGACACACAGAGCAATACCACTCTTGACTGCTTGTGGCTCCTTATACCTCTGTGCACATTGCAACTGTGCCCTCAGCTTGCAGCAGGGGTCCCTGCACTGCCACCAGCACCATTTTTGGGGAGCTGGCTGTCACTCCAAGCAGCCCCACACCCACATCCCTGGAACGCTGCACCTGACCAAGAATATACTGACCCAGCTTGACAGAACCGTCAGTTCTGAGAAGGATGTTGCTGCTCTTCACATCTCGATGGATCACATCGTTTGAATGAAGAAAATCCAGTCCTTGCAGGCATTGAGAGAGAAAACAGAAAGTAGTGGGCAAAAATGAGTGATGTGATTTCATCACACAAAAAAGGAAACAAAGAATCTAAAAGATTCCCTCTCTGGGGGAATGGGGAGTAATGGCAGAACAGTAATGGCCACTGAGAGGAAGAGCTTGCTGCTCCAACACCTGCAGAGCAGGACCTTTCTGAGGAAAGGCACGTCAACTTTTGAAAGAGCAACAGCACCTGCTGTTGTAGGCTGTCCCCTGCAAACTAGCCAGGATGACTCCTGCTGCAGTGCATGTGCTCAGAAGCAAAGAGCATTTTGGCTGCACTACTATCCTTTTTAGCTGAGGACTGAGGGAAATGGGTCTCTCTCTTTTTTCTTTGCTGATCATTTCAAATCCTGCCACCAGCACCTTTGCTTTTACAGGCAAGGAATGCAGTGAAGACAGGCTCCAGGCAAACATTTAGAGAGGCAAGGTGGAGAACAGCAAATGCAAATACAAGAGGCAGAGCAAGAATTCAACAGCAGGAGATAACTGTACTGGCACTGAGTACAGGGAGTGCAGGGGCACTGGCAGGCCTTTCACTTGAGATGCTTTTACTTGCCCATAGCATACCAGCAACGCAGAAACAAAGCCTGGCCCAGGAAATCACTCCAGCTCTGAGCCCCTGTTTCCCAGACAATGCTGCCCAAGCCCTTGGAAACACAGATGGGATTGCTGACCTCCCGACTGATGGCTGCCATCTCATCTTCAGATCAGGCAGGTCTGGCTGATGACAACGCTCAGGACGCCTCCATCCATGTACTACATAAGCAGCAAGAGTTCCTCGCTCAGAAGGTAGCTGAAAGAAGGAAATGAGGGCATGGAGATGAACATGCATGGCTACGTTGAATTTTTGCTTCCAGGTTTCTTATTTCCAGATGCCTTTGTGACAAGGACAGAATCAAAGGAATAGATATTCCCTCTTGGCTGTGCATTGTTTGCAATCTATGCAGTCTCAAAAAGAAAGACACAGCTCTGTAAAAGGAGATGTCTTAGATGGGCAGCAAATGAAAAGTGCAGTTTAGAAGCAGCCCAGATAAAAAATGTGTCAGGCATGGTGTTTCTGGAAATAAGCACCTAGTCTTCCTGGCATGCATAGCAATGGCAAAGAGGGGCAACAATCCAAGGGAAATCCACTTTAGGATGGTTCATCTGCACTTTAGAAACTTTAAAAAATCAATCCCAAATAAATGTGGAGGCAGTGAACTTCCAGGCTATTGAGTTAGGAAGTTACACCAGATTCATGTTTTGAATAATTTTGGAATAATTATCAAAGTAGGTGTGCCAGGGAAGACTCATGCAGACAAGATGCACTCTCTTCTCATCCATTGGAGATGAGTAGAGAAATATGAATAAATAAAAATTAACAACTCTACTTTCTGCCACTGACCAAAGTGGGTTTTTAACCTCTCATGTTTGTTGTATGTAAATGCACATCCATGGGATAAGACCATGACCTCTCACCTGTCTAAATAACTCACAACATTGGGACTCCTATACCTCTTCATGATCATTATTTCAATAAAGGTTAGCTCCTTCCTCCTCAGTCCTTGAAGATTTATTTTTTTATTGCCACCTAAAACGACATTGAAAATCAATAACTTGAGAGGTTGGTGGCACGAGACCACAAGGCACGTGGAGCAAGTGATTTTTGCAATAACACAGCTGAGCTGTGCCAAACTGCCTTGTGATTAGGCACTGCAGTAATTAGGAACTGACATTCCAACAGCCCATTTCTCTGCTCCCTTGGGAGCCAGAAACACATGGGGCCACTGAAATTTTGCCTTGTCCACTTGGTAACAGTGATGTCTCAACTATCACCCACAAACCTCTGACCACACTCTCTGCTGCTCTTTCTAGGATTCAGAAGAAGTAATCCATGCCTTAATACTCTGTAGATACATCTTGTGATATGGGCAGGGCTTAGGGCTTTCAGGGACGCCTTGCAGATCTCTCCCTATGTGCAGTTCCCAAGTGCAGCACTGCAGGTGGCTACGGAACTACCAGTAACTTTCAGATGGATTTGCTGGCAGCCAGAAATGAGAATTCAGGACTCTGAAGCTGTAGCCCCAAAGAGCAGTGAGGTGCTCAAAGGCACCACCTTTGTTTTAGCAATGGAGAGCGAGTGAGCGTGTCCTTCTCTGAAAAGAACCGCTGCCCTCCTTGCCTTCCTTCTGGCAGCTCAGGAGGACAAAGTCTCAAATGTGTTTTGTGGGCTGGCACCAGTCTGTGCTTCTTGTGCCTCTTCAGCACAGCTCTGCCCAAAGCTCCAGCCACAGCTCACACCAGAGGGGAAAGCCCTCGAGTGCAGCAGAGTCTGCAGGTGCTGTTGACATTTACCTCTCCTCCTGTGGCAGTGTCCAGTGCTCTATAAACATCTCCATACCCCCTAGAAACAAAACAGAAGCAGAGAAAGGAGAAGCCATTTAGATCTTGCAGTGAAAGCCAGCCCACACAAGAGATCTCTGCTGGAAGTGTCAAAACCTGCAGGATGCAGGAGGGCTCTGCCAGAAGGCAGATGATGCATTTTTCTCTCAAGAGCACGGGCACTGGGCCTGTTCCTGAAGCACTGGGGTTCAACTTCTAAAGGGAGTTTAGTCTTTCCTCTTGGGTTTCTCTTTCTAAACGTTGTGGTTCCTATCCTGACCACAGAGTGTTTCCTTCTTCAAACCAGGGGAAATAATTGTTCCTGGGAACTGCTATCTCACAGCTTTGATAGGGTGTAGGTTGCTCTTTCAGGCAAACAAGTTTCTTCTTTTTTCATTAGTGTGCCACTATGATTTTGAGACATACAAAAAATGCTAAAGAAATTAACACAGAGCTGTCCCACACTTGAGAGACAAGGAGACCTTCCAGGTCCTGTTCCTTGATGCAGGCAAGACTTTGGTAGCAAGGCATCTCTGACAATGCCTTCTGAGCCCACTCACAAATTCTAAGCAGCATTGAAAGATGGGACAATCTATCCCCAGTGTGTGAACATCTTTGCAGCTGGCCTGACTTCACGCTGGATAGACATTCCACCAGAAAAACACCTGGCCATTGGTTGTGCAGGAGTAACTGCTGTTTGACTCACCCGCTGCCAATATATTTCAGATGCGTGTATTTCATCAGGGGATTTTCAGTGGGGTTCACCATTCTCCCTGAGGAAAACAAAATGCAAGATGCCGACTTTAAAGCAGAGATCCCAGCTTCCAGGAGATACAAAAGGTAGCCCCAGTGCCTGGAGCTCTGAGCCCTTTGTGGTCAGCTGGGTAACAACAACCACAACCAGGCAGACAGCTCTGCAGCACAAGTGGCCAGCACAGAGACTGATTTTGTACAGACCTTTGAAGAGTTCTCTTGACAGGAAACAAAGCATGGGGAGATGCATTCCCAGGAGAGAAGAACATCTTCCCCACCTTTCAGCAGTTTACCAAAGGAATGCCTTCCCATTTGTAAACCAGAGCAGTTTAAGCTATAACTGATCCCAATGGGGCTTTCAGCATCAGTACCCTGACCTGTTGAGCTCAAAGATGTCCCTCTCCCAGCTAAGGAAGGCTCCAGCCTCTGTAGTCCCTCCCGCCCTCAGGGACAGGGCAGCTGACACAACAAGGCTGGCAAAGCCCAAGCATGAGCACTGACAGGCACTGATGGGAAGAAGCCAGAGCCAGCCTGAGCCCCAGACAAGCTGTTGCCCCCATTCAGGACACAACAGGATGGGCTTTGAGATCAGCCACACCAAGGTGCGGATCAGTGGCCTTTTTGTCCCAACAGGTGATGGTAGACACAGAATCCACTGGGCTCTGGTCTCAGCCCTGTCACAGACTGTCACAGACATTCTTTCATAAAAATCCTTTCTTTCTGGAGTTTTCCTCTTCTGGGAAGCTGAGGCCCCAGAAAGAGAATGTAAACAATAATTATCTGCTGATGTGTAATGCAATAGGTGCACCTGTGATTGGCTCATGTTCCATGTGTACAATTAAGGGCCAATCACAGGACCAAGCTCAGGGACAGATTCACAGAGAGCTCTCTTGTTTTTAGATTCTTATTCTATTCTTAGCTTAGCAGCTTCTGAACTTTTCTCTGTATTCCTTCTAGTATAGTCATAATGTATTATATATCATAAAATAATAAATCCAGCCTTCTGATCATGAGACCAAGATTCTCGTCTCTCTCTCTCACCCTGAGGAACCCTTGCAAAGCCATGTAACACTGTGATCTCATAATTCCATGAGTTTCAAACCTTGAACTTGATGGTCTTGGAGGTTTTCCCCAACCTCAGCTATTCCATAACTCCATGACCCAATCGTTCCCAAATCCCAGGATTTTCAGAGGTCAAACTTGATGTTCTTGGAGCTCTTTCCCAATCTCAGCCATTCCACAACTCCATGGCTCTGTGAACCCATAATTCCATTATTCTCAAACCTTGAACTTGATATTCTTGGAGCTCTTTCCCAATCTCACTCATTCCATAACTCCATGATCCCATAACTCTAAACTCCCAGGATTTTCAGAGTTCAAACTTGATGTTCTTGGAGACCTTTCCCAACTTGAGTCATTCCACAATTCCATGACTCCATGATCCCATAATTTCATGATTTTCAAACCTTGAACTTGATGGTCTTGGAGGTTTTCCCCAACCTCAGCCATTCCATAACTCCATGACCCCATGATCTTCAGATGTCAAACCTGATGGTGTTGGAGACCTTTCCCAACCTGAGTAACTCCATAATTCCATTATTTGATTCCACAATTCCATGACTCCATGATCCCATAATTCCCTGATTTTCAAACCTTCAATTTGATGGTCTTGGAGATCTTTCCCAACCTGAGTCATTCCACAATTCCATGACTCCATAACTCCAAAATCCCAGGATCTTCAGAGGTCAAACTTGATGTTCTTGGAGCTCTTTATCAACCTCAGTCATTCCACAGTTCCATGGCTCTGTGATCCCATAATTCCATGATTCTCAAACCTTGAACTTGATGGGTTTGGAGATCTTTCCCAACCTGAGTCATTCCATAACTCCATGATCCCATCACTCCAAAATCCCAGGATTTTCAGAGGTTGAGCTTGATGTTCTTGGAGCTCTTTCCCAACCTCAGCCACTCCATATTTCCACAATTTGATTCCACAATTCCATGACCCCATCCCATAATTCCATGATTCTCAAACCATGACCTTGATGGTCCTGGAGACCTTTCCTGACCTAAGTGATTCCATGATTCCATGACCTCGTAACTCTAAACTCCCAGGATTTTCAGAGGTTGAACTCGATGTTCTAGGAGCTCTTTCTCAACCTCACCCATCCCACAATTCCATGGCTCTGTGATCCCCTAATTCCATGATTCTCAAACCTTGAACTTGATGGTCTTGGAGATCTTTCCTGACCTGAGTCATTCCCTGATTCCATGACCCCATTACTCCAAAATCCCAAGATTTTCAGAGGTCACACTCAATGTTCTTGGAGCTCTTTCCCAACTTCAATCATTCCATAACTCCATGATCCCATAACTCCAAAATCCCAGGATTTTCAGAGGTCAAACTTGATGCTCTTGGAGATCTTTCCCCACATTCTCCCTGTGAATCCCAACCAATCCTCACCTCTCCCTTTTCCCTCCCTCCAGTGACCTGCAGGCTCCGTTGGAAAGCTTGGAATTGGCCTTCTGCTCCCTCGTTCCCGCCGACCTCCTCTTCCTCTGCCAAAGAGTCTCTCCATGACTCCAGAACTCTGGGATCCCAGCATCCCATGATCCTACATTCCACAATTCCATGAATTATGATTCCAGAACTCCATGATCCCACATTCCATAATTTCATGATTTTCAATCCTTGAACTTGATAATCTTGGAGATTTTCCCCAACCTCATCCATTCCATAATTCCATGATTCCATGACCCCGCTACTCCATAAGCCCACCATCTCATGGATCCATAATTCCATAACTCCATGATCCCATCATACCAAAATCGCAGGATTTTCAGAGGTCAAACTCAATGTTCTTGAAGACCTTTCCCAACCTCACCTATCTCACAATCCCACAATCTCATCATTCCAAAAACACCAGGATTTTTAGAGGTCAGACTTGATGGTCTTGGAACTCTTTCCCAACCTCACCCATCCCGCAATCCCATGATCCCATCATTCCAAAATCCCAGGATTTTCAGAGGTCAAACTCAATGTTTTTGGAGATCTTTCCCAACCACAGTCATTCCATAACTCCACTACATGACTTCACAATTCCATCATTCTCAAACCTTGACCTTGATGGTCTTGGGAGCTCTTTCCCAAGACAGAGATGGACGCAATCCCAGCTCTCATTGCCCACAAATCCCAACCAATCTTCACCTCTCCCTTTTCCCTCCCTCCAGCGACTTCCAGTCTCCATTGGAAAGCTTGGAATTGGCCTTCTGCTCCCTCGTTCCCGCCGACCTCACCTTCCTCTCCCAAAGCTTCCACGCTCCGGCCTCAAGTGCTTGGACCTGAGCGGCCATGACTTCTCCCAGGGGCCCCTGGAGCCTCTGCGGCTGCTCCTGGAGGAAACCTCAGCCTCGCTGCTGCACCTGGATCTCATAGAATGCTGCATGGCCGACTCCCATCTGGATGCGCTGCTGCCGCCGCTGCGCCACTGCTCGCGCCTGTGTTTCCTGGGAGTCTACGGCAATCCCCTGTCCACAGCCACGCTCAAGGATCTGCTCCAGAAAACCTTGGAGCTGCGTGACCTCCACCTGGTCGTCTATGCCTTCCCCGTGGACTGCTGCAAGCCGGAGCCGCCGCCGCTGGAATCCGCCTGGAATTTTGAGGAACCGGTGGACGAGGAACTTTTGGCGGCAGCCGACGTTGAGTTTTGCTGAATGTTGGCGAATTACAGGAGTGACCTCGTGTGGACTTCCAACCCCTACAGACACGGAACCTTGGACTTCTTCTCCTTGTGATTTGGGAAAAGCTCGGAGCCTCCATGGTGGAAAAGCTCCAACACCTTAATTCCAAATTCTTCATCCCAAAATCCAAATCCTTCATCCCAAAGTCCAAATCCTTCATCCCAAAATTCCGCCTCATCCCGTTTTTTTTCCTTTATTTTGGTGCTTTTCTGTCTGGTTTTTATATTTTTTCACCCCATCCTGGTGTTTTGTGTTTTATTTTAGGGTTTTCCCCCTCATCCCGATGTTTTTCCATCCAATTTTCGTGTTTTCCCACCCCAATCCCAAAGTTTTTAATTCGTATGGGACATTATTTAAGTATGAAATAAATATTAATTAATTATTTAGCAGAAATTGGTTATTAATTAATTAGCTGTCACCACACAATTTCTATCAACCCCCCCCCCAAATCCCCAAACCCTTCATCCCAAATTCCCAAATCCTTCATCCCAAACTACCAAGTCCTTGATCCAAAGTTCCCAGATCCTTCATCCCAAATCCACAAATTGCCAAATCGCCAAATCCCTCATCCCAAATCCTTGATCCAAAGTTCCCAAATCCTTCATCCCAAATCCCTATAATCCTTCATCCCAAATTCCCAAATCCTTGATCCAAAGTTCCCAAATCCTTCATACCAAACCCTTCATCCCAAATCCCCAAACCCTTCATCCCAAATCCTTCACCCCAAATCCCCAAATCCTTCATCTCAAATCTCCCACCCTAAATTCCCAAATCCCCCATCCCAAATCCCCCAAACCCTTCATCCCAAATCCCGAAATCCTTGATCCAAAGTTCCCAAATCCTTCATCTCGAATCCACAAATTGCCAAATCCCCTAAACCCTTCCTTCCAAACCCTTCATCCAAAATTCCTAAATCCTTCATCCCAAATTCTGAAATCCCCCATCCCAAATTCCCAAATCTTTTATCCCAAATCCTTGATCCAAAAATCCCAAATCCTTTACCCCAAATCCCAAATTCCTTAATCTCAAATCCCCCAAATCAAATCCTTCATCCCAAATCCTCAATCCCAAATCCCCAAATGCAGGATTTAAAGAAGGAAGGAGTTTTTTTAGGATTTTCTGGGAATTTTAGAGATGAGAAAAAAGAAGAATTGGGCAAGGAGGAAACCCCTCCTGAAATTAATTATTTAAATCAAAAATAGCATTTTTGGTCGTTTTTTCAGTATTTTTTTAGGGTTTTTGGGGTTGTTTTTTTGTTTTGTTTTGTTTTGTTTTTGGGGTGTTTTTGGGTGGGATTTTTGGTGTTTTTTGTTGTTGTTTTTGGAGTTTTCCAGTGTTTTTTAGGGTTAGTATTGGTGGGGTTTTGGTGGTCATTTAGGGTGTTTTTGGGGTTTTCCCATGATTTTCATGGAGTTTTTTATTGGGGCTGACTGGGGTTTTTTGGGTGGTTTTCCTGTGGCTATTTGCAGTTTTTTAGATAGGTTTTTGCCATTTTGGGGGCCTTTCATAGAGATTTTTTGGGGTGTTATTGGTGATTCTTCTGGAATATTTTTGGTGATTTTTGGGGTTTTTTCCAGGTTTTTCAAGTGATTTTGGGGGTTTTTCCAGTGGTATTTTTGGGTTTTCTTTGGCGTTTTTCCAGTGTCTCTTTGGGGTCTTTTGGGGTTTTTTGGTGTTTTTTGCGGTTTTTCAAGTGTCTTTTTGGGGGTTTCTTGGTGGTCTTTTAGGGTATTTCTTGGGTTTTCCTGATGGCTTTCATGGAGCTTTTATTGGAGTTGTCTGGGGATTTTGGGGTGGTTTTTCTTGGTTTTTGGGGGGTTTTCTGGTGTTTTTTAGGGGTTTTCCTGTGGTTATTTGGGGCTTTTTTGAGGTTGTTATGGAGTTTCTTTTGGGGCCTGTCCTGAGAGCGAAATCCTGAGCTCAACTCTTGGGCCAGGGCCCAACGCACCAACCCAACCCCAACGACTCTCAACAGGATTTTTTAGGGTTTTTTGGGGGATTTTTTGGGGCTTTTGGGAGCTTTCATGGTGGGTTTTGGAATTTTGTTGTTGTTGTTGTTGTTTTGGGGGGTTTTTTGGTGGTTTTTTTTTTGTGGTTTTTTTTTGTGTTAGTTTTCTGGGGTTTTTGGTGGTCTTTTAGGGGGTTTTTTGGGTTTTCCTGATGGTTTTCATAGAGTTTTTTTGTTGGGGCTGTCTGGGGTTTTTTGGGTGGTTTTTCTTAGTTTTTATAAGGGTGTTTTTGGTGTTTTTTGGGGGTTTTCCTGTGGTTATTTGGGGTTTTTTTTGAGGTTTATATGGAGTTTTATTTGGGGTTTGCTGGGGTTGTTTGGGGTTGTTTTTTGGTGGCTTTTTCAGGGTTTTGGGGCTTTTTTGGTGGTGGTTTTTGGTATTACTTCAGTGTTTTGGTGGCTTTTTCAGTAGTTTTCCAGTGGGCTTTTTAGGGGTTTTGGTGATTTTTTGAGGGTTTCTTGGGGTTTTTTTGGTGATTTTTGGGATTGTTTTTGGGGTTTTTCAATGGTTTTTGGGATTAGTTTTGCTGGGGTTTTTGGTGGTCTTTTATTTTTTATTTGGGTTTTCCTGATGATTTTCATGGAGTTTTTTGTTGGGGCTGTCTGGAGTTTTTTGGGTGGTTTTTCTGGGTTTTCCTGTGGTTATTTGGGGTCGTTTTTTGGGGTTTTTATGGAGTTTATTTTGGGGTTTACTGGGGTTTTTTGGGTTGTTTTTTAGTGGCTTTTTTAGGGTTTTGGTGGTGGTTTTTGGTATTTTTTCAGTGTTGTTTTGGGGGTTTTTTGGGGTTTATTTTTGAGTTTTCCAGTGGGTTTTGGAGGGTTTTTTGGGGCTTTCTTGGTGGTTTATGGGGGTTTTTTTGGGGCTTTCTTGGAGCTCTTTTGGGCGTTTTTTTGGTGGTTTTTTGTTGTTGTTTTGGGGGTTCTCCAGTGTTTTTTGGGGTTGTTTGGTAGGTTTTTTGGTGGTCTTTTGGGGTTTTTTTGGGTTTTCCTGGTGTTTTCCTGTGGTTATTTGGGGGTTTTTTGAGTTTTTTATAGACTTCTATTTGGGGTTTTCTAGTGGGCTTTTTGGTGGCTTTTTTTTAGTGTTTTGGTGGAGGTTTTTGGTATGTTTTCAGTGTCCTTTTGGGGTTATTTTAGGAGGGTTTTCTTGAATTTTCCAGTGGGTTTTTGGGAGGTTTTTTTGGGTTTTTTAAATGATTTTTGTGGTAGTTTTTAGGGTTTTTCCAGTGTCTTTTGGGGTCTTTTTCCGATGTTTTTTGGGAGTTTTTTGGCAGTTTTCATGGAATTTTTTTGCGGTTTTCTGAGAATTTTAGAAATGACAGAAAAGCAGAATTGGGAAAGGAAATGCTTGCTGAAATTAATTATTTAAATCAAAAATAGAGTCTATAATTAATTAACCAGTGAATTTAATGACTGCAGGACCAAGTTTATTCCGATTTTCAGCGATTCACGAGGCAGAAATTGCAGCTCCAACCTTCGATCCCGATTTCTCTGCCCGCAGAATTCCCAGGATTTCCCCAGAGAGCCGATGCTCCTTCCCCTGCCAAAGCAAATGCGTCGGGGGCTGCTGGGGCCCGTCCTGGAAGCGAAACCCCGAGCTCAACTCTTGGGCCAGGGCCCAACGCACCAACCCAACGCCGCCGACCTTCTCCGGCGCCGGGTGGTAGAGGCGCCCGTTGCACGGGCACACGGCCAACATTCCCGGCTGGAAGGGCACCACCAGCTCGGAGCCGCCCCCGCAGTAGGACAGCAGGGAATTGCCACCGGGGCCAGGCAGGATTTGGGTGAAAACCACAGGAAGGTCGGAACAGCGAAGGAAATTCCGCTCGCGGCCGCAGCGCGACAAGAACGGGAAGCGCTCCTGGTAACGCCCGCTGCGGTTCCGCTCCAGGTGCCGGAAGAAGAAGGAGAGGAATCCGACGTCTGGGGGAAAAATTCCGGGATCAGTGACAGGGATTTTGGGGGGTTGTGTAAAGAGGGTTTTTTTTGGTGATTTTGTGGAGAATTTGTGGAAATTTTTTGGGGTTTCCTGATGGTTTTCTGGGTTTTATTTGTGGGGTGTTTTCGGTGTTTTTTGGTATTTTTATGGTGGTTTTAGGGTTGTTTTTGGTGTTTTTCCAGTCTTATTTTGGCTTTTCCCAGTGTTTTTTAATAGAGGCTTAGTAGGGTTTTTAGGTCATTTTTTGGACAGTTTATGGGTTCTTTTGGATGGTTTTTCACAATTTTTTCGGGATTTCAGGGAGATCAAGTGTTTTTCATAATGATCTAGTGGGCATTTTTGGTGGTTTTTGACAGTTTTTTGGTGGGTTTTGGATGGGTTTTTGCCATTTTTGGGGGCTTTTCATTGAGATTTTCTTGGGTTTTATTGGTGGTTTTTCTGGAATTATTTAGGTGATTTTTGAGATTTTTTCCAGGTTTTTTGGGTGATTTTTGGGGTTTTTCCTGTGGTATTTGTGGGTTTCTTTGGGGTTTTTCTGATGCCTCTTTGGGGTCTTACAGGGCTTTTTCTGAGTTTTTATGTGGTGGTTTTTTGGTTTTTCTTTTAGGGTTTTCCTGTGTTATGTGGGGTTTTTCCAGTATTGTTTAATGGTGGTTTAGTAGGGTTTTTTGGGGATTTTTTGGTGGTTTTTGGCAGTTTTTTGGGGTGTTTTACATGGTTTTCTGCCATTTTTTCGTGGTTTTGTCATGATTTCTGAAGTGTTGTTGGTGGGTTTTCTGGAAATTTCTTTGTGATTTTTGAGTTGTTTTTTAGGAGTTTTTAAAGGTTTTCCCAATAGTATATTGGAGTTTCTTTGGGGTTTTTCTGTTGCACTTCTGGAGTGTTTTTGTGGGTTTTTTTGAGGTTTTTCTGGTGGTTTTGGCGGTTTTTTGGGGCTTTTTTTTGGTGGGTTTATGTGGTTTTGTTGATGGGTTTTGGTGGAGATTTTTTTGGGCTTTTCTGGTGGATTTTTGGGGATTTTTCATATTTCTTTGGTGGTTTTGGGAGTTTTTACGGTGGTTTTTCTATTGGTTTTGGAAGGTATTTTGGAGGTTTTTTTGAATTTTTTGGAGGTTTCTGTGAAGTTTTTTTGGGGTCTTTTTTGGTGCTTTCCATGCAATATTTTTTGGTCAGTTTTTGCATTTTTGGGGGTTTTTTAGGTTTTTTCCCAGGTTTTTTGGGTGTTTTTCCATTGGTATTTTGAGATTTCTTTGGAGTTTTCCAGTGTCTTTTAGGGGTCTTTGGCAGTTTTTTGGAAGTTTGTGTGGTGGTTTTTGGGGTTTTTCTGGTGTCTTTTTGAGGGGGGGGTTTTGGGTGATTTTTGGTGGTTTTGGGGATTTTTTTTTTGGTGGGCTTTTTTGGTTTTGCGGATGGTTTTTAGAGATTTTAAAGAGGTTTTTG